TAGTCATTATCTTCGTCCATTATCGTACTACCAGCAGTTCTTAACTTACAGGGGAGATTTTCTTTTTGAAATTCCTTTGCATTTACACTGGGTTAAAAAAAAAAAAAAGCATTTCTAATTTTTTTTTTTTTACATCTTCTTCACTGAAATACATCTATACCCTAAAATGCCTATACTATGGGAGAGAAATGATATCATGCCTGGGGTTTGATTTAAACTGCAGAAAACAAAAGGAGGGGAGGAAGAAACGTATTTTTTTAGAACTTTTGCAAACATGGCTAATTGTTGATAAACAGGCAAATGAACTGCCTGAACTAGCTCTACTCTCAAACTCTTTAAAAGTTAGCTATACTTACCATGCACCCACATTGATTTCTCCCTTTTTTGTATCCCTATCAAGTTCTACCTGTACCACTCATTTTTCACAATTACTGTCTTAATTTCTTACTTCAAGTCTCCACGTATGCATTTATTTCCGTACTGAAAGGTCTACAAAACACACTCCTTGCTATCAAGGAGTTTATAATCTTTCCTCTCTTACCTCCAACACATTCATTCAACAATCTCATTTACCAAATACCCACTATGGGCCAGATACTCTTTCTAATGCATGGATGCAAACAACAGGTCTCTAGCCTCAAAGAGATCACAATGTAATAGAATGAGAATGTAGTTAGATGCATTTCTCTAAAGAATTCCCAGTTATTCCTCTGTTGAAAACTTTCACTGGCTTACCACTCCATAAAGAACAAAATCAAACTCCTTTACCTGGAAGTCAATGTCTTCTATAACCCAGCCTTGAGTGCCCTTTGGTCCAAATATGCCTACTTTCCATTTCCTGGACCTTCCAAGCATATTTCTCAATATGCCTTTCCTTATGCCATTTCCTAAACCTTAAAAACTGTATCAAATCCCTTCTGCAGATCTGAACCCCCAACAATCCTTTCAAGTCCTGGTTCAACTTTTCCAAGAAGACTTTCTAGTCACTAAACTTTTCTAAAATCGTACCAGATTTATACCATTAACAGTTAACAAATTAGCAGTTAACAAATGAGATGTCCTGTATGGTCTCATAGCGTCCACAATGTCCAACACAATGCATTGTCTACAGAAAATGCACAGTAATTATCTCATTACCAATTTACTCAATTCCCTTGTGTATCTAAAATGATTGACCAATGTGTGAGGACAGTGTGTCCTCTAGAGCCAGTCTCCCCAATTCCAACTCAGAGAGCTGCTCTACTGGTCTGTAGTACTCAATCAATCACTTTTAGCTGCTCAATTCCCAGTGGAATTTGGGTGTAAAAGCAGAACTAAAGGTCTTAAGTAACTTCACCATAGATCCGCAAAGTCCTATTCAGAGTCAAAAAAAACCCCCAAAAAACATAGGAAAGAACCAAAGAAAGCCAAAGATGTCTATAACCATGAAGTGCTGAGATCAACATGATGGCTCCGAGATGGGCTTGTCTAATCACTTGCGATTTGGGGTCTACAGTTTTAAATAGCAACCAATTCTCCTGTTTCAAAAATCACTTTTTGTGTTAAACTGGAGAAGTATTTCTAAATATCTCAAAGTTTTTCTCCCCATTTTGAATGCCATAGGAAAAGAAGGAACCCACTCTCCCCTCAGGTAATGAGTTGGTTGGGATAAAGTATTTCCAAACATCTAATAGAAGAAAGCACTTCTGTTGTACTTACCATATTTTGGTTTAAGTATCTGCTTATGAACCTGTCTCTCCAATCAAATCATGAGCTCCTCAAGAGCAGGGAATCAAGAACTGGATAACTTTTCTTACTCATCTTTGTATATCCTAAGTCTAACAGCCTGGCACACTGAGAGACTCAATAAATGCTCTCTTAATTAATTAATGAATTCCACCTTAGGTTAAAACATGTTCAAAATGCCAACAGCCTGTTAAAAAGTAATAGAAAGAGGTTAAATAATACATTCAAATACCAACTGCCTGTTAAAAAGTAATGGAACACAGAAGGCACACGCATTTTATATTTAAGCAGACCAAGCATAATTTATTGGAGTTTTCTTTCTTCAAAACTATTTCCAACAGGTGACATAAAATTTCCTAAGGAATGATTTCATGTTATCCCTAATCTTATCAGACTTTTCCACTTTTTGGTTGGGAGTAAAAACGTGGGAAAAAACTCTTTTTTGATGCGCTTTCAGATCTTTCCCCAGTGCTTCTGCCTTAGTTTAAACCGGCTCTTGCATTTTTACTACCCTTTAACCCACAAAAAAATCTGAAGAGTCAATGAGAGAGTGATTATCAAAGAATGGAAGCTTCAGGATCAGAGTGGGGGAGGGTGCATATGTACTTTAACCTGCCCCTAGCATTCATTAAGAATTACTATTGAAATTAAAAGGCACCATGAAAAGGTAAAAGTACTGCACACAGTGATACATATTTTATATATATATATATATATATATATATAAAATACACATAGGTAGGTATATATATATGTAGGTATATAAAATTGAGGCTATCCAAAAACAATTTTTGGTGTAAAATTGTTTTCTCGTGTTACATGTAATTTTTTAAAAGGCATGAATACTAGATATTGATACTGTGGGAAAATGACTAGAATTAGCAGAACATTTAGTCAAAAGTGGGAGCGAGCATACACATCCTCACATAAAGGCTATACGATGATGGTGATAAAAGGAACATTCTTCTGAAACAGGAAAGGTAATCAAGTTAAATACTGTTCAGAAATGCTCACAAAACTATGATCTATTCATAGTATAGTTCTCTCATACCTTATATTTCCAGAAGTATATAAAGCAGCTTTGAAAAACATAAGATAATTAGCACCAGTACTGGTCTCTCCAATGACTTAAGAGTTTAAAATATACCCCAATTTGACTTAAATGTATGCGTTTATCAACAATCCATACATCATTAAGCTGATGAATAAAAAGCTCAAAACAAAGAACCCAAAAAATCCAACAAGTCTAAACAAGCAGCCATACCTTTTAATTCTTTCTCTTCTACTTATGATTTCAAAGCATTCCCAATATTAACATGATCACTTAAGCAGTAACTTGTCCTTTAAAAATGAGCATTCTTTAAAAGAATGATTGTTTGAAAAGAAAAGTTATCTTGTCCTGTGACCCAACAATCTACCTCAAAGATAATCAGGAGCAAATGAAAACATTTCTAAGAAAGAATGTTTACATAAACATTTTTTATCACACTTAAAAGCTAGAAGCAATGTAAAACTCCATTAGTAGAAGAGTATGCACCCATTGAAATTAAGGAGCTATGATTAGTAACATTAAAGATAACATTTATTAAGCTTAAAAAGAAAAAGGTTATAGAAGAGCATATAAAATAAAATTGTACACATATATCTACATGCCAAATTGAGAAATATCTTTGGAAGGGTTATCTCTAAGTGCTAGAATTTTGTGGGATTTTTATATATCCTGTGGAAAAAAAATTTTTGACAGAAAATCACAATGAGCTTGTGTCATTTTTATAACAAATCTTTTTTAAAAAAGATGATACTAACTTCAGTAAAGATGTCCAGTAACTATGTAGTGCCCGATAATTGTGTGGTTTAGCCTCTCTGAAAGGCAATCAGACACTATCACAATGATAAATGCACATTCACTTCGATTCAGCAATTCCACTTACAGGTATTTATAATACAGCTATTCTCACACAAGTGTGCAAAGACACACTTGTTCAAGAATGCTCACAACAGCATTGTTTACGTTGGGTGTGACCTAACTGTCCATCAACAGGGATTAGATAAATAAATTATGTACATTCATACAATGAAATACTGTGTAGCTATGAAATAGAATGAGGTAGCTATGTGTGTTGGAGTTGAATGACATCCAAGATAAATTAAGGTTTAAAAAAACTAGTTATGTATCAACTAACAGAGAGGAAAGAGGGAGGGAGAGAGACACAGTCAAGTATACTTGTATTTGCATAAACTCTCTCCAGGACACAGAAAAAACTGTAAATAGTGGTTGCCAGTGGGTTAGGGGTCTAGAAATCAGGGGTGAAAAGACTTACTTTTCATTGTAAACAAGGTAAACCAATTTGTATTGACTTTTTTTTACCATGTACGTACGCTACTTTTAAGTTTTAATAGTTTTTAAAATATGGGCAGTGAATTACTTTGCTGTTGTATAAAGATATTTAAGGAAAAAAAGGTTTTCAAGTATCAAAATTATGCTAGCAAAACAGTTATTTTTAAAGGTTTAAAAAAATTCTAAACTATCATTTGCTGCTTTAAGTTTATTACAACCGCTGAAAATAATACACAATTGTAAACCTGAGGGCTTCTTCTGGACAAGGGTGTTTACTTTGTTGCTAGCCAACAAATCCACATCTGTTTAACCCAGTCCTTGTTCTGCTCTCTCAGTACTGTAGCAGTTTTAAAAACGTGCCTTCTCTCTTGCTAGATTTAATACCTGTTCTATATAAAAGGATTTTCTATTGGCCACACAATAAATGGGAAATAAGGGAACAGATTTTCTCCTTTTCCATTGATACTAATCCTTCCAGGTCAGTCTGGCCTAGCCTTCCCCGATGGAGTAACAAATGAAATGCCGACCTAAGACAAGCAAGACAATGACTCACTAGACATAGTAGTTTCTACTCCAAGGGTGTTCTAAAAAAATTAAAGCTAAGAAAAATATATTACATTGACGCATACTCTCAAGTAGATTAAACACAAGCCTAAGGTCTCAGATCAACTGCCACTAACATGCTCTGTAACTTGGGGGAATCTATTTTCCAGGAATGGGAAGTTACTCCAAATATGAGACAGAAAATGCTGCCTAATACAGTGATAGAGATCTTCTTATCACACTAGCTCAGGGTATTATAAAATATCAGAGAAACAATCAACAAGGTTATAAGACAGGTCTGTCAATGTCGGCTTACTCAACACCACTGCTTATCAAACTTCCTGAAAATAAGCGGTAAACCCGTAAAAGATAAAAATGAAGAAGCTGAACTCACCTTTAACACTTTTTCTATTAACATCTGCCCCCTTTTCAAGTAAATACTGAGCAATCTCTTTGTGTCCTTTGTAACACGAAATCATCAAGCACGTATGCCCATGTCGGTTTGACACTTCCAAATCAGCTTTGTGTTCTACAAGGTACTTCACTATTTCCAAATGGCCATCGAAACAGGCAGCTCGGAGAGGAGTTGAATTGGTTAAAGTCGTGTTGTTGACAGATGCTCCATGATTTAACAAAGACTGAACCACCTTCAGATGTCCTGCTGCAGAAGCGGCCCACAACGGGGGAGCCCCCTCAATGGTTTCGCCATCAAAATTGACGGAGCCCCCGACTTCGATGGAGGCACTGCACTGCTCCAGGAGGAATTCCACCATGTCAAGGTGCCCATACCGGGCGGCCATCAGAAGTGGTGTGGCCCCATTGGTTTTTTCAGAGATCAAGGAGGAAACCTCCTCTTTGGATTTGCTTGCCAGTAACTTGGTGAGAACCCGGAGTTTGCCATCCCGAGCTGCGTTAAATACTGCTGTCTTTAGATCCATTTATGTCCAGTTGAGAGGCTGCGCTTTATTTATCCTTCAGAGCAAAGCTCCGGCTTAACTCTATCCACCCAGGCGAGAGTTACAGGAACCAAAGTTCAGTGTTAATCACTGCACCCCAGAACGGATATAAAACCAGGGTCAGTACGTTCTGTCCTATTGTCTTCCAACATCTGACAACCAGAGCACCAAACTAGAGAAAGAAAAAAAAAGTAGTTTTGAATTTTCTACAGGTGAAGACAAACTATTTAGGGTTTCTTAATTTCTACTCCAGGGGAAAAGGGAGGTAAAAAAGCGCCAGACTTTAGGGACTACTCTGCAACCCCAAAAAAGGGAGGAAAGGCGAATACAAAAAAAGGTACACACAGAGACCCAAATGTTTTGATGGGAGGCAGTCTCTTCTCTATATACGGTAAATTTAAACACTACAGGCAACCGGTTTTCTCGCCTCCTAACCAGCCAAGCTTTGTTCTAGTTTTGCTTTGCACCAGAAGAGTACAACCGAGAGAGACAGGAGACGCAGGTTCAGAACTGCTTCTCTTTCCCACATCTGCAGAAGGGAGAGGGCCAAGGGCGCCAGGCTGAAAGGCCTCATTGTGGCCAGGATGGGTCTCGAGAAGGAACAAAAAGGTCGGACACAACAAACCGCGGAGCTAAAGCCCAAAGCCTCACCCGAAAGCTTCTTTCCTTTAAAACTCCTCGGGGCTCTCAGGAAATCCGGCTGCCTTTTAGCTAACTTCGCCCGCCCCATCTTGGTCCCCCCCACAAGACATCTGCAGGTTCCCCCAACCCCAGACGCCCCTACATAACCTTCACCTCTACGTTTCCCAGATGCGGCAGCCCCTCCCCAAGCTCCTCGCTCGATCACGACCCCTCGTCCTGCCACCCGCCGGCCCCCCCCCCCCCCCCCCC